TTAGTTATAGACAAAATATGACCGTTATAAATATTGATAAAAATAATAACGGTAATTAACCAGGATCCTGATACGGTTGAGGATCCTGGATGTTTGAGGATCATGGATATAGTAAGGATCCTGGTCCCAACAATTACCCCGAAGTTATTCCTGAAAATATATGGGTTAGTTCCGTAAATATTAAAGGAATAACTTAAAGTAAATAGGTAAGAGAATATGGGATAGTAATTTTCAATTTTAACCCATAACGGCTAGGTGATTTAAATTCCAACGGATAGTTTACTAGCCGTCTAGCCGTTAGCAGTCAAATCATATTAACCGACTATGTATAAATATGAGGGATCATTTTCATGTTCTCGTATCCGTTCTTCTTTGCTTTTCTTGTGCCGTCTTGCGATTTAGAAGGTAATTTTTCCTCTAGACTTTTATTCTACCATGGGTCGAAAAATGGCGGTGTCTCGTAAAAGCATTTTGGCCCTCCCTGACGATGATTTCGTTGATCAGGGGATCCTCTCTTATGAGGAGTCCTGCTCTTTTGGTGACGACGATATTGAGTCTCTAAGACTCGCTGGAGCCTTTCCTTCCGGAGTCGTTTTCAGACCCTTTGATCCCTTTATTCAGCCGGACTTTGTCTCTCCCACTTGGGTGTGCTTTCCTAAGTGCCCCTTCTCTTTAGGTTTGAGGTATCCTTTCACGGGAATAATCTCTAAATTCTTTAAGTTGACCGGGATTTCATATATCCATGTCATGCCTTTTATTTGGAGGATCCTTTATTGGATCGATCAGATAAATCAGTCGAAAGGCATGGATATAAGCCTCTCTGAGCTGGCCTGTGTATACGATCTTACAACTTTGGGAAACTCCCGATTCCTCCTTAAGGTCAAAACCTACAAGTCTCCTTTAATCCTGAAAACCAAGCATAACGATGGGGCTTGGAAAGGAAGATACTTCTTTGTGAGACGTGAATCTATTCCCGGTTGGGATCTCTTGCCCCTGGATTGGGTTAAGAAGGGTAGGATTTCAATATTTTCCTTTGGGATCCTGAAATCTTATGCCTATTTTGTTTTTTTGTTACAAGTTTCAAGTTTGGAGAGCTTGTTGTCACTGCTAAGGATTCAGAGGATAAGATTGCCAACTTTTTCTCTCCCCCGGAGGCAGATAGATCTCTTAAACTTAACCAGTTCAGTCTCCAAGAAGAATCTTCCACCATAGCTTCTATGGCTACAGGTACGCATCTTTTTACTTTCTGACTTCAAGTAGTTGCCTTAAGATCCTTGATCTTATTAGGATCCTTATGTTATGTGCAGGTTCCAGGACCGTTCACTCCAATTCTCGCTTCGCTCTAGCTGACCTCGAGGATGATATGACCAGTGACCTGGTTAGAATCAAGCAGGAAAAGTCTTCTGTTGTGGTTCCTCCAAAGAAAGTCCAGCTCGACCTGGTTGTAAGGACTCCTGGATCCCGAAAGAGAAAGACTTCTGGGGCCACAAATTTCAGTCTAGAGGGCCTCAATATTGAGGATGCTCTTGGGAAGCTGACCTCTTTTTCCCAGGCTGTAAGTTTCATGCATGAAAGAATTTATTTTTCATACCTGTTTTTCTTCCTTTGATGATCTCTGTGTTTCTTCCAGGTCTCCACTTATACTTCTCAATACACGAACGATCTTAGGATCCGGGCTGAGAAGGTCGAGTACGCTCTAAAGGAGCAAGAGAAAATCTGGAAGGCCACCAACGAAGATCTTCTCTAGAGGGTAGAGCTGTTGAGCAAGCAAAAGGCCGAGAAAGAGGAGGAGCACCTTGCAGGCCTTGAGGAGGTGATAGCGGATGTGAAGGCGAGCGTTGCTGTGGTTATCCTGGAGGCTAAGATCAAGCTGGTGAGGATCTTGAACATTCAGGATCTTGGGACGTGATAGGATGGTGTGAGGCATTAGCCAAGCTAACCAGCAAGCCTGCCACCATCACTGAGGATCATGTAGTGTGGCCAGGAGGGGAGGAAGAGGAGAAGAAGAAGGAGAAGGCCGACGATGGCCAGGTTCAGGTCTAGGCCTTTTAGGTGATTAGGGCAGTATAATCTTTTGATGTTAATGCATGGCATTTGTAAGGCTGTAGGCCTCTTTGTTTTTGAATATAATGGTTTATTTCTTTTTGTCTTTCTCTGTTTCCTGCATAACACAATACTAAGGTCTTTGCATGTTTAAGATCCTAAAAAAACAAAATGGATCAATAATGATTAGTCAAACAATAACCGACTTTGTTAAACAATCTAAAAGTTTCTTGTACAAGTTTATTGATTAATTTGCAACTCATAAAAGTTTCTATTACGCTTTTGGAACTTCTGTGAAAATAACGAATGACTCCGAAAGTTCATATGTCAGCGATTAATTCAGGATCCTGGAAAATTCAGGATTCTTGGTTTTAAAACTTCAAAATTAAGGAAATATAGAACCTGATTGTCTTCGGGTTTCTCCTTAAGTCTTTGAGAGTTTACTGAGGGTAAATTCCAACTTAGGAGAGAATTTTGGTTCAAATTTAGGAACGAGGTCCTTTACCAACAAAGGTTGATGAGGATCCTTAAGGGTAAGGATCCCTACCATCAGAGATCCTAAAGATTTTGGATCTTGTAAGGGAAATTTATCCTTAGGATAACATGTTTATAGACTTAGACAAAATAGATAACATGTTAATGTTATATTCTGGGGAGGATCCCTACTTGAGATATAATTCATTGGGTAGGTAACATGAAAATGTTACAATCTGACCGGATTTTCTGGGGAACATTCCCAACGTGTGACAGCATGAAGATGTTATAGGTCTTGTGTAATTTCTGGGGAAAAATCCCAATCTTTGATAACATGAAAATGTTATAAGCCTTGAGTAGTTACTGGGGTAAAATCCCGATAACATGAAAATGTTATAAACCTGGAGTAATCATTGGGGTAGGATCCCGATTTCTGGATAACATGAAAATGTTATAAACCTTAAGGATCTCAACTTGTGTTCAAAGATAAGAGGGTTTCCAAGCCACTGAATCGTGAAATGATCCCCTTATCCGTATCCCACAGTTAGATATCGTGCGTCCAAGCGAGGTGTATAAACCTTACTTTGTGTGAAAGAGGTAATTAGCTCTTTAAACCTTAGAGGGGATTAACTACCCTTAGGCGTAGGAGAGATGATCAGTCTCTAGCTTGTGTACATGATAGTTTAGGGATTATATTGTTAAATATAATGGAGTTTACAAAGTATTGGGATCTTTATGTGTCAAGATCCTTATGCTTCGGGGTGTTCAAACTTGAGAATCCAGACGTTCCGGGATCTCCGATTGTGAGGATTCCGATGTTTCAAGATCTCCACTCTTGAGGATCCTTAACTGTATGTCGTTCTGCATAGCAAACGTTAGCTAAGGGTGGGCGTTAGTCTAGCTAACGCCCCTCCAATGCTTAAGTTAGTAATGTGTTCGAGGAGAAAATCAG